TGGAATACTAAATTTTTTACCAATGTCTAGCATATGTTATTCTAGAAGCCATTATCATATACAGTATGATATCACTGAACATCCTATAACTTTAAAGTTCAGTGAAGTCCCAGAGCTGGTCAGTTTGTTACCATTGCCATTCATATAGTCTCAGTGTGGCAAATGTACCATGTTGAGAGGAGGCATGAGGGGTAGAACAGCCTGCCATATAGTTTACCCTGACTGTGTGGATAGTTTCATTGTCACCTCTACATGTTCCCAGCAATGGCAATGAGATTTGCTCCTTGACCATAGTTGCTTGTTTGGACAAAACTTTGTGGTGGCCTCTGGTTTCCTTATGGACTTTCCAGTTGCTTCACTTTTAGAGACTAGGCTTTGCATAGTGAAGGAGCTTGGGATGAGGAAGAGTAATATGTCTATGCCTGTGTTTGTACATGTTTTTTTTATTTTTGTTTTGGCAACACCAAGCTAGCTGGGGAAAAAGGAGGCAGCCATTAGTGTATCATTTAGTACAATTCATTAGTAAATATAAAGCTTAAAATGTATATACAGTCAGCCCTCCAAATTCATGACCTTGAGACGCACATTTTTGATAATTTGTGAGGTCAAGGCTGCTAATGCGGGCATTCCTCCTCCCTTTCCCTGCTGATCTCTCCTTGGGCAGCCCAAGGAGAGGATCGGGGAGGCAAAGGATCTTGGAGAGGCCAAGGCACCTCTTGCCTTCTCTTTCCCGATCTTCTCCCTAGGTAGCCCAAGGAGAGGATCAGGGAAGAGAGGGGTTTCAGAGGGGCCAAGGCACCTCTTGCCTTCTTTTCCTCAGTTCTCTCCCTAGGCTGCCCAAGGAGAGGATTGGGGAGGAGAAAGGGCAGGGAGCCAATTAAAGGGATGGGAGGCTGGGGAAAAGGGGAGTGTGCACCCCTGCTTCTCTTTTCCCACCCACCCCTCAATTTAACTGGTTTCTGAGTGAGAGAGAGATGTTATTTACATTTTTTCATATTCGCAGGGGTCTCATTCCCCTAACCCCCATGAATGTGGAGGGAGAACTGTACTCATACATTGGAGAAATACACCCCCTAGCAATTAATTTCTCAGCCTATATGCATGTAACTAAATTGTGAAGACAGGCTCAGAGCACCTTTCATTGGTTTTAATCTTTAGGTTGATGCACTAGATGTTTGTACCTTTTCTTGGCTTCCCTTTCAGTATTCTCTGTTTCCTCCTATTCTTACCTGGATTTGCACACCTCAGGGTTAGAGTAATGTTGATTCACTTAAGACAAGAACTACCATCACCACCATGCATGCTCACTTGGGAGGCTTCATTAAACATATCAATTTTCACAATACTCATATCACACAGATTGCATTTTAACTAGGCTTGCACCTGTATGCTCAAATCATGCTTGGAGTCCTTTTGTTCCCTTCTTTTGATACACTTGTAAATGCACTAGGAAGTCTTCAAGAAAATATGATTTCAAAAGTATGGTTAACAGCTTTGGAACAAGCCAGGATATCAAACCAACTTCAAACATCATGCTGAGATATGGCCATTCAAACCCTTCCATGTGGCCGGCATGCTCACAAAGCTAATTTACCCTTTCACTCATAAAAAAGTTTAAAAAATATATGTTTAAAGGTCTGGATTTGTCTAATAACATCATCAGAGAGCTATCTGCAATTGACAGGGTTTAAGGGTTGTGAGTGGATCAAAGGGTTGTTATGAGTTATTGATTCTCTCCACTGTGTTAATAGAACCTCATTACATTATGAGTGGTTTTTGCAAAGTTCTGCTTTTTATAGTTCCTCACTGAATAAAAAACCCCCATAAATAATCTGTAATCATGACTTTTTCCCATTTTTCATTTGGATGTACATAAGAGAAGGCTTATTAATCTCTGTCTTGATGGAACTTACTTCCATTTTAATTATCTCTCTATATGTATCTGATGCACTCCATCTTCCAGTAGAAATGTATTTGTTAAAAACCTTTGAAGAACTCTTATTGCAAGACATCAACCATTTACTTTCAAGTCATACTAGAAAAGTTTGACAACCACAACAAAGCACTTCCCAAAAGCTTCATTTCCCCCTACATCCTGAGAGGTTTCCTCTCAAATATATAAAGCCCATCTGTACTGGACTTTATCACTTCCCTCTATTATTTTTGGCAGCTGTATATCTGTCCATCTATGTCTCATGTGGAGGAACATCCAGAAGAACAGTTCTCCTTGAATTGTGGACATGGCCATTCTTTTAATTATAAAATTATGATAGACTATAACTGTATTAATGGATTTAATACACTGTGTAACTAACATACTGGACACATATTGTCTGAGTTTAGTTAGACTAAAATACACACTTGAAGGTAATTTTGTTGGCTATAGAGGGCACTTGCTTGCAGCTAGGTTATTTAGGATTATGGGGAAAATAAAACTAAAGACTGATATAAAGAAACTATAGGATAGGTATAGGTCTCTTAGTACAAAGGTAGGCTGAAGTATAATATGTTCACAAGTTATGCTTCTAATTACCAATGTTCTGATCTTTGGTAGAGTTCAGTTATTTTCAAATGGACAATTTATTTAGGACTAAGCTAGAAAGCAAACAATGACGACCACTAAACTTTACTACTTAACCATTTTTCTGGGGTGGGGGGAAAGAGTGAATTTCCTCACACACACACACACACACACACACTAGGAATAATTAATAGAATGATATAGTCATTGTTATCAATTATTATATTTGAATCCTGCCCTTTCTTGAAGTTATTTAAAGTGATGTAATCTCAGAACAGTACTGTGATGTACATTGTGCCGAGAGTTAGTACCTTGCAGACATTCTGCTGATGAGATTCATTAACTGAGCTGAGATCTGAATGTCAATTTCCACACTCTTGAATACCATGCTCCACCCCAGTAGACCACACTGCAGAAATAAAGCAGTTGGACACAACTTTAACTGCCATGACACTATCCTACAGGATCCTAGGATTTGTACTAGGATTACCCCTGACTCGGCTTTTAGCAATTTTGTTTGCCATACTGACTGTGGCAGCATAGTAATTGTGCTGAATGCTCAACTTCCTTTCCAACTCAGGAGCAGCAGAAAGCGAATGGAGATTGTCTCAGACAGTTCCCTGGCTCCAATTTTGGGAGTTTGTTTGGCAGCTGTCTAGACCACTATGCAAAGCCAAATTGGCAACTTCTTCCCCTTCCTCCCACCTCCCCAGCATTGGCGAAAGAGTGATGGGGATTGGAAACCATTACTAGGGGTTCAGGTACCACCCAATTCAGTATGACCTCAAGCCAGTTGGATGCTGCTATAGTATGGCAATGGAGTTTCTATCAAGCTGCGTATATAAAATGGCAAAATTAAAGTTTGCTTTGGAATTATGTGTTTTCGAATAGTCAATTTCTAATTAAAGGTGGCTTTATTCTGAAACAAAGATTGAAAAAAAATATTTTTTAGAATATATCTGCAACCTTTCCCAACTACCACAGCTGTGTCAAGTGAGAAATTCTGGATCTGCATTCACTTTTTTGAAACTCTTCCTTAAAGGCTAGAATGGTGGAAATTATAAGGCCCAACTGCATGTGTTTTTCCTAGAAAGGCATGGAGGGTACTAGCATAAAACTGCCCAATGGAAGTGTAATAAGTAAGACACAGTGACAGTGTTTCGACACAATGTTGTGGGAATGATGCTTGTTCCCCCCCTCTGTCATGCCTAAGTGACAGAAAACTTGTGCATCTGTCTGTAGCTAACCATGGTTTTTCATTTCTTCCAGACGTAAGTACAGTACAGTTGGCCCACTGTATCCATGGATTCTGCACCCATAGATTCAATCATCCATGTCTTGAAAAAACTTTTTTTAAGTTCCAAAAGCAAACTTTAACTTTGCCATTTTATATAAGGGTCACCATTTTACTGTGCTATTGTATATAATTAGATTTGACTATCCATGGATTTTGGTATCTATGGGGGATCCTAGAACCAAGGGCCCATTGTAGTGTTAAATGTGAGTTTAAGAAAAGAAGACACAGTAATTAACCATGCTTCTCCTATTTTCATGTCAGAAAGAAAAGGAGGAGCACATTGGAAGCTAAACCATAGTTATATGTGAACCCACTTCTCTCTGCATATTCATGTTAACTTTGCATGTACATGTTTAGCAAGCAGATTTCATCTGTAATATATCTGTTTCTCTTCTCTCCAGTTTTTTTTTAAAAAGTATACACAAACACAAATATCACTGGCCAGATTAAGGCTCACTTGCCATACAATGTGACAGTTGGTGCCAAATATACAATGAAAGTATTTTGCATTTCGGATGCTTAAAACATGTTGACCAGTCTGAAATAGCACTGTAGTGGAGGATATAAAACACATGTTTCATGACTGGATATCATTAATCTTGATGACAAATAATGCTAGAAATTGTTTTCCTCTTTCAAGCCATCATCTCCCCACCCCCTAGGTCCCTCTTTGCTATTTTCTTTTTTCTTTTTTTGTTTTCCTATTCTTATGTTACCCATCTGTTCTGAATGTGCTGTTGGCTTATATTTTCCATTTTCCTTTTTATTTCAGACAGCTTTTCCGATGTAAGCCAGTATTGCTATTATAGTTGGAAGAAAATTTTAAACATTGTGACAGTCACTTCTACATTTTCAGATGACAGTTCTTTATCTTTCTTATAAACATGACCATTGGTTCTGAACACTATTCAGTTATGCCCTTTTATGACCCTGTGTATGTACTAATAAATGTAGGTTTCCAGCTGGAAATATTTTTGATTTTGAGGCATCACAGTTGACAATTCTGTTATATGTGTTGCTGCAGTTGTTTTGTTGTATGCCTTGAAGTCATTTCCAACTTATGGCAACCTTAAAGCAAACCTATCATGGGCTTTCCTTGGCAAGATTTGTTCAGAGGTTTGCTATTGCCTTCCCTTGGGGTTGAGAGTATGTGACTTGCCCAAGGCCACCCACTGGATTTCATGGCTGAGCTAAGATTTGAACCCTGGTCTCCAGAGTCATAGTCCAACACCCAAACCACTATGCCACACGGGCACTCTTTGTTGCAGTTGCTGAGTATAAATTAAGACCTATTTTCAAACTATTAATTGGAATTCAGTGTGTGTAGCATCAGGTACATTTTTAATCCCATTCTTGCCATTTACCATTAAAATCACCTGTGAAATGGGTCTAGGCGAATAGCTATTACCTGAACTAGGGTCACCCAGTGAGCTTTGTGGATTGTTGAAGATGTACCATATTGGCTTTTAGCATGACTTGGACCTCAATAAAACAAGGGCCTCATTCCCACTACGTTATAGACCGGTTTGCTAACTGATCTGAAGTGGTTTAAATGACCCTTGTTCACACTTGAGCCAAATCGTTGAAGCAGTTTGGTGAGGGGGCTCTGCGCTAGACCCATTTAACACATGGTTTTTTTTAATGCATGTCTTTTTGATACTCATTTTTCTGCATCTTTTGCAATAAATTGATTCACCACAAGTGTGAACAAGATGTGGATCAGAATCGATTTCCTATGATATGATCAGCGATCGGTGACCCGCTGAAGAGGGTCCATTTTGAGTTTATTCATTAGTTAATGTGAACAACAAGTGGGTTGTTTTACAAAAAAAAAATGTGATCGAGGCAAATGTAGTGTAAAGCACGCTCTGCTGTCGAACCAATCTATTGATTCGTATCACAAACTGATTTATTTGTAAGTGGTAATGAGGCCCAGATAGGTTCTTTGCCATAGATAGACTACTCAAACCAGCCTAACATGTCCATTAATTGAAACCATAGTTTGTATTTGACTTGTCTCCACAAACTTTCCACTGACTCCACTAATTGTTTTAAGGTTAATAAAAAATAGAATTGAAAACTTCTGAGATGCTCATAGTCATGCTGGAGAAAGAAGACAAGAGCACAAAAGCCCTGGGATTACTAGGCTTATTCTTGTAATACAGTATTAAGCTATGGTTTAGCCTTGCTGGGCAGAAGAAACACCTCCGGTATATATATTGCCTACAGCATCCATGGCAGATTGGTTCCAGAACCCTCTGCAGACACCAAAATCCATGGATGCTCACGTCCCATTATATGCAATGATGTAATAAAATTGTGTCCTATAAAAATAGCAAAATCAAGGTTTGCTTTTTAGAACTTAAATATAATTTTGTATATTTTCAAGCTGTGGATGCTTGAATCCATGGATAAGGAATCCATGGATGCAGAAGGCTAACTGTAATATTTGTGAACGCATGAGATGTGAGATGAGCAATGCTTAAACAGCATGTGCTGGAGAATAACTGAAGATCTGTGAAATGGCGGGAGGATATGGCAATGGCAATGGCAGGAGGTATGCCTATATACCACAGGGTCTTAGGGTATGCCTATACATCACTACATTTGCATGGATTCAACAATGTTCAGCACATTACAAATTCAAGTTTTCCTTTTTTGAACTTCGCAAATTCCCAACCACCCACCCCACCAAATATTTTCAATCCACGGTTGTTGAATCCATGGATGAGGAATCCACAGATACAGAAGTGTGACTGTGTATGTTAAAATCTGTGGAGGCTGCTGACTCGCATGTTGGTGGAACAGTGACTTGGCTCTGAGTTTGAGACTACACTTCAAAAGAGTTATCCAAGGGGATGAATCTAATCTCCCAGATAGGTTCAGTACCCAAGTGGATTCACTGCCATATTAGCATGGGAACCACTAGCTGTCATATGGATTTGTCCAGTGCAAAGTTCCCATTAATTGTATGTGTCTTGTTTCTAAAAGGTATGTGATGATGTTTTAGTACTCCCTCTAGCATATGCTTGCATAATACAATTAATTATTCAGTCTTGCATCTAAAGAGCCAGGATGGCATAGTGGTTTGAGCATTGGACTATTACTCTAGAGTCTAGAGAGTATGGTTCAATTCCCCATTTGGCCATGGAAACCCACTGGGCGACCTTTGGCAAGTGACATGTTCTCAACCTAATCAGGTTAATGCGA